GGGGAGGGAGCCTTCCCCACTGAAACAATGAATTAACAGGTCACAGTCATTCCAGAATCAGTCAAGTTGCTTGCATAAGAAAACTCTCCGGGGAGCATGTATAACACCAATGTTAATTTGAATGCACTGGCTCCTCGTGAAAGCACGTATGCAGTACAAGTACAAGGTAGCTGGCCTTTGTTTTAAGTCCATCAACAATATATATTGCACTACATGTATCATATTACGGGTATTATCATTGCAATGGTCATCAAATGCACTCCAAAATCCATTTCTGCCTCTAAGATCGGCCAATAATAAACTGCTTTTTAAAAAAAACCTGTAAGAGATTTTGAGGTAAGCTTTTTTATACCACGTACTCCTGGTGGAACGAATTGCCAGCGTACATCTACGGGAGTCAACCACTTTATGAGTACAAATGTATTCAAATCAGAGCTAAATAGGCCTACGCATTTGTTGTTGTTGTTTTTTGTTTATTTAGTGTTTTACGGCGCTCGCAACTGCATAAGGTCATAAGAGCGCGCGGGACACATTAAACTTTTTCAGTCGGTAGCAAATTTTGAATTTTGCCCTGGTGGCGGCCGAAGCCTACTCTTATCGATTGTAGACCACCAAGGATCAATATTAACGTGCGCAACTTGCACACGGGACCTCGGAGATTTTTCGCCCTTGTCTGAGAAGGCTAGATGTAAATCTTTCCTACCAGAAGATCAGGGGTGTGGCTGAAAGAAAGAGTAAGAAGGAGCCAAGGAGCAGCAGTAGAAAGGCTGAAGAAAAAGTCAGGAGCCCAGAGGAGTGGGCGAAGGAGGTGAAGGGGTGGAGGCAGAAGGTGGAGAGGAAAGCAGACGACAGAACATTGCTAGAGAGCAGGAAAGGAGTTGAAAGGAGACAATATTAAAGAAGAATATTTTTCGGTCACTACACGGACTCGAACCTGGGACCTTTGAATGAGTGTCGAACACCTTACCCTCAAGGCCACGAGAGCCCACCCTCGCATTTGTTTGATCAGCTTTTACATGTAGGCGTAGTTAACGACATTTCCAGTACACATATGCCTTCATAATACATTATACACTTTCAGCATTGATTCTTTTCCTATTCATGCTGTTCTGTAATACATATGTCGCGACCTCAGTGCTTTCTTGTCGTATCTCCATTTTTAATAACTGTGAAAACAGTTCATGACAAAGAGTGAGCTTAAGAAGAAGTCACATTTTCACTGTAAAGAAGAAATGGAGATACGACAAGAAAGAACTGAGGTTGCGATGTATTATAAGTGGCTGTGTGTCGTCATTGATGTGTAGGCCTACGTCGTGGGTGTGAGTGTGAGTGTAGGTTACACGTTTCTGTGGGACTGTCTGTACTCAACAAAGATGTACAAATGTACTGGAGAGAGTGGAGAGAGAGAGAGAGAGAGAGAGAGAGAGAGAGAGAGAGAGAGAGAGAGAG